CTCTTATTGCTGTCAAGGCTGCTTTGGTCAGGAAAACAGTAAAAACAGTAATATAGTGATAGATTATTACAATTTAAAATAACTGTTTTTGAATACATTTTAAAATGTAATTTATTTCTGTGATGGCAAAGCTGAATTTTCAGCATCATTACTCCAGTCTTCATTATCACATGATCCTTCATTCTGATGTCATTCTGATATGCTGATTTGCTGCTCAATAAACATTTACTGTTTTTCTTAATGTTAAAAACAGTTGTTTAATATTTTTGTATAAACCTTAGTTAAGACTTTCCAAACCTTTATTTTAATATAAATTTTTTTCCTGTTTTGGTTTTGTATTTAATTTGTAATATTTTGCAGGAAGTAATCAAACATTAAAGGTTGGAGGTTTAAAGTTATTCATTTCACACTGTAGTATAACTTGGTTTAATGGTCTAGTATTGTTGTGTTTGGTTATACCAGTCCTAGAATGTTTTCAAAGTACAACTGCGTAACAAGATCATGTCAAGTCAAGTCAAGTCTGCTTTATTGTCAATTCTTCCACATGTACAGCACATACACACAGAGAATTGAAATTGCGTTACTCTCAGACCCTTGGGTGCATACAGATAACATAAATACAGATTAAATACAAAATACAACTATACAAATATACAAATAAGGTAAAATGTAAAAATATATATATAAAGCACAAGGCATATGGCAGAAAGAGTGCAAACCAGTAAAGTAAACAACAGTGCAGATATAGTGATTGTAGTGCAAAAAATGATTTGTAGTGCAAAAGAGCTTATTCAGATTGATTAAAGTGACAGTGTGTGTGTGTGTATTTGGGAGGGGGGGAGTGGAAGAGTCCATTAGAGGGTCAGAGTTCAGTGGTGCGTGGGGCAAAAGAGGGGAGGGGGGGCAAGGTCGGGAGGGAGTTCAGCTTCCTGACAGCCTGATGGATGAAGCTGTCCTTCAGTCTGCTGGTCCTGGCCTGGAGACTCCGCAGTCTCCTCCCTGATGGCAGCAGACTGAAGAAGCATCTGGACTAAAAAAAAAAATTTTTTTTTTAAATAAATAAGGAAGGGTTTTTTATGTACATGTATGTGCGTGCATATATATATATATATATATATATATATATATATGGTACATGTATATTTTTACTTCAAGCAAAGAGAACAATTTCAAATCAAGAGTGAAGCCTAAAACTGTGGAACCTAGTGGTTAGTGTGCTCATGTGCTTGTAAGACGTCTGCAAAGTGTGACTGTGTGACTCTGGTTTGTTTGGGTTGGCCCTCAGATTTGTGTGTGCCCAGCTGCCCAACCCTGTTCTGGAGTGTGATTGACTGATTGACACTCCAGGAATCCTGAGCGGAGAGAAACAAAGGATCAGCAGAGGTAACTGACTGCCAAAATGCACCAACATGCACATGCACATGCACAGAAGAAAAATATCATATCGGGAGCTATTGATATATAAAAACTACCTTTCAAAAATTTAGAGCCGGTAAGATTTTGTATTGTTTATAAAAGAAGTCTCTTATTGCTGTCAAGGCTGCTTTGGTCAGGAAAACAGTAAAAACAGTAATATAGTGATAGATTATTACAATTTAAAATAACTGTTTTTGAATACATTTTAAAATGTAATTTATTTCTGTGATGGCAAAGCTGAATTTTCAGCATCATTACTCCAGTCTTCATTATCACATGATCCTTCATTCTGATGTCATTCTGATATGCTGATTTGCTGCTCAATAAACATGAGCAGCATTTTCTTAATGTTAAGTTGTTTAATATTTTTGTATAAACCTTAGTTAAGACTTTCCAAACCTTTATTTTAATATAAATTTTTTTCCTGTTTTGGTTTTGTATTTAATTTGTAATATTTTGCAGGAAGTAATCAAACATTAAAGGTTGGAGGTTTAAAGTTATTCATTTCACACTGTAGTATAACTTGGTTTAATGGTCTAGTATTGTTGTGTTTGGTTATACCAGTCCTAGAATGTTTTCAAAGTACAACTGCGTAACAAGATCATGTCAAGTCAAGTCAAGTCTGCTTTATTGTCAATTCTTCCACATGTACAGCAAGTAGAGACGCTGCTGTGCTTTCTTGGCCAGTGCTGCGGTGTTGTCAGTCCAGGAGAGATCCTCTGTGATGTGCACACCCAGGAACTTGGTGCTGCTCACCCTCTCCACAGTCACACCATTGACGGTCAGAGGAGCATGCTGAGTGCGCACTCTCCTGAAGTCAACAACAATCTCCTTCGTCTTCTCCACATTCAGAGAGAGATTGTTGTCACTGCACCACCCGGCCAGGCGGCTCACCTCGCTCCTGTAGTTTGTCTCATCTCTGTTGCTAATGAGACCCACTACAGTCGTGTCATCCGCAAACTTGATAAGGAGGTTGGAGTTGTGTGACGGTGTGCAGTCGTGGGTCAGCAGAGTGAAGAGGATGGGGCTCAGCACACATCCTTGGGGGGCCCCAGTGTTCAGTGTGATGGTGCTGGATGTGTTGCTGCCGACCTGAACTGCCTGAGGTCTTCCTGTCAGGAAGTCCAACAGCCAGTTGCACAGCGCAGTGTTGAGCCCCAGCTGGACCAGTTTGTGAATGAGCTGTTGAGGGGTGATTGTGTTGAATGCTGAACTGAAGTCTATGAACAGCATTCTGACGTATGAGTCTTTTTTGTTCAGGTGTGTGAGTGCTGAGTGGAGGGTAGTGGCGATGGCGTCATCGGTCGAGCGTTTGGACCGATATGCAAACTGGAAGGGGTCCAAGAAGGGGGGGAGGGCAGACTTGATGTGGTGCATGACTAGCCGTTCAAAGCACTTCATGAGGATGGGGGTAAGTGCAATTGGACGGTAGTCATTGAAGCAGGATGGAGACGACTTCTTCGGGACTGGAATGATGGTGGTAGCTTTGAAGCATGTGGGGACAACAGCCTGACTTAGCGAGATGTTGAAAATGTCTGTGAAGACATCGGTGAGTTCCACTGCACAGTCTCTCAGTACACGCCCAGGAATGTTGTCAGGACCCCATGTGATCTCAGATTTCAAATTTGAATACTAGTTCTTGTTCCCTGTGGCATCAACTGAAAAAGATTTTCTTTAGGAAACTCAGAATTCACTTGATCATTATATTGGGTGGGGGGAGCAATTATAATTTTTTCAAGTTGCAGTTTCAATCTGTGTTGTGTTAAAAGTCTGTGTTGAATATGATGAGAGACAAGGCTTTATCAAGATGAAGGATGTTGTTTTGGCTTGTAAACTGTAAGGACAGATACAAGACCTCATGCAGGCCTTATAATGTGAAAATGGTACATAAAATATAAGAGTTTGAGTTTGCGCTACATTTTAACTATAGTAATACATTTTTCAACTGTATTGTATCAAAGGATGGTGGATGTGTGCTTCTTTTCATTCTCTGGTTTGCCACATATTGTACTGGATATCAGGTTTGGCAGATATTTTGAAACCTATTTGGTTCAAGTACATTTTTTGTTTACAAGTTTTGATACTTAAGCTTAGCGTATGTGTAATTTTTCCACCCGCCATTATGTTTCTTGCATGATCAAGCATTCTAGACTTTTATGATTAAATGTTGTGACAATTTCAGTACTATAAAAATTACTATACAATGTCACTTCTAGTTGAATTACTGAACCAATGCCCTCGTAACAGTAAGCTTGTTTAGCATATGGTTACTTCATTGCTCATTCAGAGAAGTCCATTGCAGCTGAGCGGCCCATACTATTACTATCAGCCGGTCACTCTCCTCCCACTGCACTCACCCTCACAGACTGAACTGATATGGCCCGAGGATTATAGACACTCATGTTTCTGAGGCCAGAGGCCAGAGCCAAGAGCCGGGCTCTCCAAGATCGTTTCAGAGGGCGAATATTTAGTAGCTCTCGTTTGTGCTGAAAGCAGTAAATGTAGGTTTAAAGGTAAGTGCTTAAATTTGGCAGTGAAATTAGTCGTCATGTGATACAGGAGCCTCTGTTGAAAATTAAGTGGAAGTGTGTCAAATAGATGCACACTGGAGCACAAAATAAATGCACACAATATTGTTATATTATGTGAAATGGTATGCATCATGCAGTGGTAATCTTTTCAAACCCTAGAACACTACAGCATCCAGTGACCAAGTGACATTGGTGTGTCTTCTAGTCTATGGCTGCTTAGCTCTGGCTTTAAAGAGCTATTGATCGCAGTGAACATAATGTTTGTGAGCTTTTAAAGTTGCTATTGAATTGTAGATTAAGTCATTTGAGGTGTTCTCACACATGAGTGCATGTAAGAAGAGCAAGCAGTTTCGTGACAACTATTGTATCTTCTCACTAAACTGCATTCTGCTTCTCATAGCATTAATCTTGTAGCATTTAGCGATCTTTCTTCTTGTTTGAACACTGGATCTAAGTATGTGCTGCTGCAACAGTTATTTGTATTACTTTGTCTCACCGTCTGTCTCTCTTTTAGGGTTTGGAATCGAGAACTGGTTCATTTTATTAAAAAAAATATAAAAATACTTGAACGGAATGATTTTCATGAGATTTGGTTCTGTACCAGCTGACGAAAGTTCCTGAATTTACAAAAGAAATTGTTTTAGCCGAGTTGTGAATTGAATGGGAAAGATTTATTTGCTAAATCTCATTCTAGTTTTCATTGCATTTTCATTTTATGCTGATCTTCTCCTCCCATTTTCCTCTCCAAAAGTCTCATTTATATGTTGGTGTGATGGTTGAATTTGGCAGGACGTTATGAGTAAATGTCTGTCATGCGTCCCCCATTCTTTGATTATGTCAAGCAGGTCTGTGGAATTTCTCCAGCAGTCACATGAGATTATAGGGAGGAACCTTCTCGTTCATATTCATAGCTACAGGCAGTTCATCTTTTATCCAGTTTCAGCTTTTTCCTGTATGCTGGTGCATATGAACTGAATCAAATCATTAAGATAAGATTTCTCTTGTTCCTGCATTGCTCTGTGAATTCTGTTTCTAAGGATCATTTGGGCAGGTGTTTTCAGCCAGGTGCATGTGTTTATGTTTATACTTACTGTGTGTGTGTCTGTAATTAGATGCTGTTGTTGTCTTTCTACTCAGCCTTAATCTCAGACGGCACACCCACAGACCATTCATAATCACTGTTTCATACATATTGCACACAGAAACACCAAGAGCTGGCTGAAACTGTCCTGTTTGATTGGCTTGCTTGTGCACAATTCTGTAGTTGGTCAGTTTGTTCATATCATCTTTTAGTTTTTATAGTTTTTAGGAAGTGCATTACAGAAGACATACAAGAGTCCGAGACCAGATTTAAATTCTGGGATTCAAAATGAATTTTAAAACCTGAAAATAAAGTTTTAGGTTTTTTTAAATGTTTAAAATATATTATTATATTCTTATATAAAATAATATTATAATAAGATTTAACACTAATTAGGGATACAATATTGAACATTCTTGGTTTGGCATACTAAATATTGTTAGACTAGCAAAATAATTTGTAATAGAATAATGTATTAACATAGCAAATGTACAAAATTAGCATTTTCGTTTTCATTTAGTATTTAGTCAAATATTGTACATGTACAAAAACATTTGCATACACATACATAATAGTTTTAAGGAAAATGTGAACATTTTTAAAAATCATATTTTAAATCTTACTGAACCCAATCCTTTCAACAGTAGTGTCAGTCAGATATATTCTTCCTGTCAGACAGACGGAGAGGACGGTTCCGGACTAAATTAAGCTGCAGTATCAGACTGAATAATTAATTTTATATAGAATCATAATTTGGCTTGGATACCTACTGTATCGCTGCGTATCCTGATGGATCTGAAGCTATAGTGTATAGATCATCACCAACACTGAGAGACAGTTCCCCACCCAGATCAATCCATTAAATAACATCTATACATTTCTGACACCCATCAGCACTTTTTCATGCATCCATTACAAGAACAGCATCTCACAGAAAGCAAATGCTACTGCTTTGTCTGACAAACATCAACACAGCATCTTTCTTTCTCTCTCTCTCTGTCTCTCTATAATATGGGCCCATATGATCCCAGTTACACCTCTGCAAAGAGAGCCATTAGTAGAGAATGGCCATTAGCTTGATCATTTAATTTTTCATCGCTGTAATACTGCAGGACCCATTATACCATTCTGTCTGTTCTACTCCGTTATCAAGTGTTTGGCAGTGCAGCATGTTTCTGAGCGTGCAGCTGTAAAGCTCCATTGACCACGTGCCAGTGCTGCTCCCAAGAGCGGCTTTATCATTCCCAGTTCTCCTCTACCTCCACCACAGGCAGGTGCTGTGAAATAGACCTCATTTCCTCCAGGAAATACTGTCTGCCAAATCCAATCACTGGAGTGGTTCTGTTGTATTATATGTTCGGCTGACTGTGTAACAGATGATCGTGGCTCCGGTGTAGGTTTGTAGATAAGCAGTGGTCACTTAAATCGCTCTGTTTGTGGTTAAGGTTCATTTAAATGTATTACTGTTTTGTTGTAGTAGCATGCTATTAAATAATGCCTCGGCTCTGAACCACATAGAGCTCAAAACCACATTCGTGCTACTGTTTGTGTTTAATTGGAAAAAGGTTAGGCTCCGTTTGCAACAATATGTAGAAACACCTTGTAGCTATATTATATTAGAATTAACTTAAATGTAACTGTATAACTTTTGACAAGCATTTTCAAAGCCTGTGCATTAAACTTGGTGTCATTTAGTCACATCACAATTGGTGTAAACACTAAACAGACATTTTAAGATCTGAAAATTAGTATTCATTTACTGTGTGCAAAGCACAACATGCCAAGTGTTGTCTGATTCACGAACAAATTACTCTTATAAGCTGGTTCTTTTCAGTGAACCAGTAACATTCTGCACAACCTGTGTAGTATGATTCATAAACAAATAATTCTCATGAGCTGGTTATTTTCAGTGAATTGATAACATCCAGCACAACCAGTGTAGTCTGATTCTCAAACAAATGACTCTGAGCTGGTTATTTTCAGTGAATCATCCAGCACAACTAGTCTAATAATTGTCACTATTTTGTGAATCAGAAACAGCACAACCAGTGTAGTCTGATTCTCAAACAAATGACTCTGAGCTGGTTATTTTCAGTGAATCATCCAGCACAACTAGTCTAATAATTGTCACTATTTTGTGAATCAGAAACAGCACAACCAGTGTAGTCTGATCGTTACCAGTTGTCAGTTTATGATTATGGTTTTGATCTTGCACGTTCTTTAAATAACATCCTTTTTAGCATCTTCATCAGTTCAGGATGTTGCAGAGTGCAAACGCAGCACAGCGTCAACCAAAACCATTTCCTTTTTTCATGTTCTTTTATTCACATCTTTCATTTTGTTTTTCATCAGCTCATACCAGACTTTTCTTTCTAGTGCCATGAACTACCTAAACTTTCACTGAATCTGAAAACATTTCTAATTAAAAGTCTATCCTTTTTTTCCTGTGGTACTGTAATTTGACATCTTTGTATCTTTCTCTCTCCATGAACAGTTGCTACAGAAGATGGCTTTGGTTATAGCTGCCTGCGTAAATGTCCATATGGAGGTATTGTAGATACTGACAAACTACTGTTAACACCTGCAGCTTATTACGCCAATGAAGTTCCAGCACCGCTCGACTCCAGACGTGCTGTGAAATCAGGGCCTCTTGATATTAACCCTCAGATATGTCCCTCTTCAACAATATAATCACAGCTGTAATACCAAGCCCAGTTTCACCGCTGTTATTGTCCTGCTCTCAATGACACTGTCTCATGTGTCTGTTACTGTAGATTTTGTCTTTCTTAGACCTTTGAGTTGACTAGTCCCAGTCTAAAGTTACAACAATTCTGGATAGAGATCTATAAGTTGTTGAAAAGACAAACCACACTGTTGCAGGTGACAATAAAGCATCCCCATGTAAAACTGTCAAATCGGAAGGGATGGTCTACCCCATTCCTGTAGGCATGGGATCTTCCTGTGGAAGAAATGGCTATATCTGCCATATTCCATGTCACTGATTTGAAATATTAACGCACTAATTCCTCCCAACAGAACTGCCAGCTTTGGAAATATACTCCTTTTCAGTCAAGGTCATCGCAAAAATGCTTACACACTGATGGCGTAATTGATGATAAGCTAGAAGTTGTTACAGAAGATATACATCAGAGAAAAAAAATTACAGCTCGACTCAACAGCACAACAATTCTGGATAGAGATCTATAAGTTGTTGAAAAAACAACCCACACTGTTGCAGGTGACAATAAAGCATCCCCATGTAAAACTGTCAAATCGGAAGGGATGGTCTACCCCATTCCTGTAGGCATGGGATCTTCCTGTGGAAGAAATGGCTATATCTGCCATATTCCATGTCACTGATTTGAAATATTAACGCACTAATTCCTCCCAACAGAACTGCCAGCTTTGGAAATATACTCTTTTTCAGTCAAGGTCATCGCAAAAATGCTTACACACTGATGGCGTAATTGATGATAAGCTAGAAGTTGTTACAGAAGATATACATCAGCGAAAAAAAATTACAGCTCGACTCAACAGCAGAGCCTGGTCAGAATCATCATCACCTTTCCTAATTTCAGATGTATTTCAACTTAATGTTCCAGGGTGGAAAATTACACATTATGTTTATTCATAAACCCTTTTTTCCAACAGGTGTGTCCAAACTTTGTTTTATAATTTTAGTTTTAGGAGACGCTAACAACACTGTGCAGAGCAAATTGTAGTCTAGGTGGACTGAGGGGACAAAAATAGATTAAAAAAAAAAATTTTTTTTTAAGTACTGATAATTTCTCTTTTTCAAGGTTTTTCTTCTGTCAGTGTGAACTTTGTTTTCTATAGCAAGGTTATGATTTTCTTGTCATGAGCACACAGTGTCCTAACCGGTTACTATGAGATAGTGATTTGTCTGTCCCCACTAAAAGCTAAAATTCTGCAAAATAACAATCTCCTGTTGAGGAGGCTCGTTCGGACACAGTGGCGTGGCTTTTGATTCATTTTAGCAGTATTGCATTGTCATAACCTTTTTCCTTCCTTGGTTGCATAGCAGCAATGCAAATGGATGTGGAGATCTCATATCATACATTACAAAACTAATTAGCCCACAGCATTAGGTTTCATTTGGAGGATTCTGGCTTTCTTGGCTGAGTTAGCCGTCTACCAATTTCCAAATCTCAGCAGCTAGGAAGTTGAATGTGCAGTCACCCAGATAATGCAAAAACTAGTTTTATGCTCCTTCACAAGAGTCTGCGGCTCCTTAAAATAAGAGCCAGTCTCAAAAACAGCCATTCTGAATCATGCAGACATTGCATGCATACAAATTTCAATACTTTAACCATTTGCATCTAAATGCATTATTTAGTTAAGATATTTTCATAATATTCTATGTAATGCAGCCTTGGTTTAAAATGAATCATCATCTTGCTTTCCTCTTGAATGGTGGACTTGCTGTTTGACTCTGCATCCCTGGAGAGGGAGTGAAGTTGAGCTGCAGAAGCCATTAACTGGCAGACATTAGATCATAAAAACCGCAACAGGCCTGAGCATTTTAACGATACTTGGAAGAGAGTCAGCAGCTTCAGTACTGTTGAGCTCCAGGTCTAACAAGGTCATTTTGCCCGTTCTGATTGGCTGGCTGCCTCTTCGCTCTCGTGCGAGCATCCATCCGGTGCGAAAGCTTTGTGAACCGTAAATATTAGACAGGATATCAATCTCTTTTCCAATCTCTCCTTCAGGCTATGACTTCGCTGCGGTGTTGGAGTGGTTCGCCGAACGCGTGGACCGCATCATCCTGCTGTTCGACGCCCACAAGCTGGACATCTCGGACGAGTTCTCAGAGGTCATCAAGGCCAGACGGAGAGGACGGTTCCGGACTAAATTAAGCTGCAGTATCAGACTGAATAATTAATTTTATATAGAATCATAATTTGGCTTGGATACCTACTGTATCGCTGCGTATCCTGATGGATCTGAAGCTATAGTGTATAGATCATCACCAACACTGAGAGACAGTTCCCCACCCAGATCAATCCATTAAATAACATCTATACATTTCTGACACCCATCAGCACTTTTTCATGCATCCATTACAAGAACAGCATCTCACAGAAAGCAAATGCTACTGCTTTGTCTGACAAACATCAACACAGCATCTTTCTTTCTCTCTCTCTCTGTCTCTCTATAATATGGGCCCATATGATCCCAGTTACACCTCTGCAAAGAGAGCCATTAGTAGAGAATGGCCATTAGCTTGATCATTTAATTTTTCATCGCTGTAATACTGCAGGACCCATTATACCATTCTGTCTGTTCTACTCCGTTATCAAGTGTTTGGCAGTGCAGCATGTTTCTGAGCGTGCAGCTGTAAAGCTCCATTGACCACGTGCCAGTGCTGCTCCCAAGAGCGGCTTTATCATTCCCAGTTCTCCTCTACCTCCACCACAGGCAGGTGCTGTGAAATAGACCTCATTTCCTCCAGGAAATACTGTCTGCCAAATCCAATCACTGGAGTGGTTCTGTTGTATTATATGTTCGGCTGACTGTGTAACAGATGATCGTGGCTCCGGTGTAGGTTTGTAGATAAGCAGTGGTCACTTAAATCGCTCTGTTTGTGGTTAAGGTTCATTTAAATGTATTACTGTTTTGTTGTAGTAGCATGCTATTAAATAATGCCTCGGCTCTGAACCACATAGAGCTCAAAACCACATTCGTGCTACTGTTTGTGTTTAATTGGAAAAAGGTTAGGCTCCGTTTGCAACAATATGTAGAAACACCTTGTAGCTATATTATATTAGAATTAACTTAAATGTAACTGTATAACTTTTGACAAGCATTTTCAAAGCCTGTTGACTTTTGCATTATTCGGCATTAAACTTGGTGTCATTTAGTCACATCACAATTGGTGTAAACACTAAACAGACATTTTAAGATCTGAAAATTAGTATTCATTTACTGTGTGCAAAGCACAACATGCCAAGTGTTGTCTGATTCACGAACAAATTACTCTTATAAGCTGGTTCTTTTCAGTGAACCAGTAACATTCTGCACAACCTGTGTAGTATGATTCATAAACAAATAATTCTCATGAGCTGGTTATTTTCAGTGAATTGATAACATCCAGCACAACCAGTGTAGTCTGATTCTCAAACAAATGACTCTGAGCTGGTTATTTTCAGTGAATCATCCAGCACAACTAGTCTAATAATTGTCACTATTTTGTGAATCAGAAACAGCACAACCAGTGTAGTCTGATCGTTACCAGTTGTCAGTTTATGATTATGGTTTTGATCTTGCACGTTCTTTAAATAACATCCTTTTTAGCATCTTCATCAGTTCAGGATGTTGCAGAGTGCAAACGCAGCACAGCGTCAACCAAAACCATTTCCTTTTTTCATGTTCTTTTATTCACATCTTTCATTTTGTTTTTCATCAGCTCATACCAGACTTTTCTTTCTAGTGCCATGAACTACCTAAACTTTCACTGAATCTGAAAACATTTCTAATTAAAAGTCTATCCTTTTTTTCCTGTGGTACTGTAATTTGACATCTTTGTATCTTTCTCTCTCCATGAACAGTTGCTACAGAAGATGGCTTTGGTTATAGCTGCCTGCGTAAATGTCCATATGGAGGTATTGTAGATACTGACAAACTACTGTTAACACCTGCAGCTTATTACGCCAATGAAGTTCCAGCACCGCTCGACTCCAGACGTGCTGTGAAATCAGGGCCTCTTGATATTAACCCTCAGATATGTCCCTCTTCAACAATATAATCACAGCTGTAATACCAAGCCCAGTTTCACCGCTGTTATTGTCCTGCTCTCAATGACACTGTCTCATGTGTCTGTTACTGTAGATTTTGTCTTTCTTAGACCTTTGAGTTGACTAGTCCCAGTCTAAAGTTACAACAATTCTGGATAGAGATCTATAAGTTGTTGAAAAAACAACCCACACTGTTGCAGGTGACAATAAAGCATCCCCATGTAAAACTGTCAAATCGGAAGGGATGGTCTACCCCATTCCTGTAGGCATGGGATCTTCCTGTGGAAGAAATGGCTATATCTGCCATATTCCATGTCACTGATTTGAAATATTAACGCACTAATTCCTCCCAACAGAACTGCCAGCTTTGGAAATATACTCCTTTTCAGTCAAGGTCATCGCAAAAATGCTTACACACTGATGGCGTAATTGATGATAAGCTAGAAGTTGTTACAGAAGATATACATCAGAGAAAAAAAATTACAGCTCGACTCAACAGCAGAGCCTGGTCAGAATCATCATCACCTTTCCTAATTTCAGATGTATTTCAACTTAATGTTCCAGGGTGGAAAATTACACATTATGTTTATTCATAAACCCTTTTTTCCAACAGGTGTGTCCAAACTTTGTTTTATAATTTTAGTTTTAGGAGACGCTAACAACACTGTGCAAGAAAAAAAATTACAGCTCGACTCAACAGCAGAGCCTGGTCAGAATCATCATCACCTTTCCTAATTTCAGATGTATTTCAACTTAATGTTCCAGGGTGGAAAATTACACATTATGTTTATTCATAAACCCTTTTTTCCAACAGGTGTGTCCAAACTTTGTTTTATAATTTTAGTTTTAGGAGACGCTAACAACACTGTGCAGAGCAAATTGTAGTCTAGGTGGACTGAGGGGACAAAAATAGATTAAAAAAAAAAATTTTTTTTTAAGTACTGATAATTTCTCTTTTTCAAGGTTTTTCTTCTGTCAGTGTGAACTTTGTTTTCTATAGCAAGGTTATGATTTTCTTGTCATGAGCACACAGTGTCCTAACCGGTTACTATGAGATAGTGATTTGTCTGTCCCCACTAAAAGCTAAAATTCTGCAAAATAACAATCTCCTGTTGAGGAGGCTCGAGAACACAAAATAATAGATTTGAAGAATCTCTTTATTCAGCTCTTTTCCAAACAAGAGTTCATAGTTATCATGGCTATGAAAATAAAAACTACATATTCCTCTTGTATATGGAAAATAATTTGTTCCACAGGAAACAAATAACAGCATTTGGAATGTCAGACAATAATGACAGAATGTTAATTTTTGGGTGAACTAATCCTTTAAGTACTAAAGTCTTGGAAAGTTCTGAACCAAAACCACTACTGAAACCAAAAGCAGGAAACGGCCAACAAACTGCTCAAAATTTGGCTAGCAAATTTTGTTAAAAGCAAAACAAGCACTTGAGGATTTATTTATATGTTGGTGTTCAAGGGAAAATATTTAGTGTGTGTGTGATTCAGAATAAAAGGTCTTTGTTTCTGCATTTATTAAGTTGACATGCTGTGAATGTTGTTGTCGTTCCAACATGTTTTTGATGTGGTCCAGCATATAGCTCTAGTGTAAAAGTAATAGCAGTGACATGCACTTTGTGTGTTTACAGGCCCTTTTGTATGTCTGATCTTGCAGATTTGCCCAAGTAATGAGGCTATTTACCAAACTGTATAGTCTGCTGATGTGGCTCTGCACATGGCTCTGATGTTCAGCTACATTAAAATTGACTCAGAGTCATTGATTTTTTTTTCTCTCCTCCGCATTAAGCATATTATATTTGCTTCTACAGTAATTTTTGAATCCAAGCTTGATTCATTTATATTTAAGGGCTGTTTTAGTAATGACCATAAGAACATGAAGTAGTCATTTATCTGTCTGTCTCTGTTTCTGTATAATTGCTACATCCTACGAGTGTCTAGGGGTCTGTTTTACCAGAACGTAACATATTAAGCATTTAAAGAGCATTTGTCTGGGCCCTGCCACAGCACCACAACCACAAGATCTCTTTTTAACAGATTTATTTAAGGCTAGCTAAGCATAGCCTGGTTTCATAGGGATGCACCGATATGAAAATTTTGGCCGATACCGATAACCGATTATTCTGTACAATTGCACAAAAGGCTGCAAACGAACAGCGCGCATCTGAAGTGTCTCTGAAGGAAATAATGCATTATTTATCGGCTTTAAGATATCGGCCAAATTTTCTTATCAGGCCGATACCGATAACAGAAAAAATGAGCCGATATGGGCCGATACCGATATGGTGGCCGATATATCGTGCATCCCTATTTCTTTGGAACAAAAAGTACAACTTAGGAGGGAAACAAAGGCTTATATATGATATATATAAATAATATATATATATTTATATAAAAAAGAATACATATATGTAATATGCAATTAAAAGGTGATACTGGTTGTGCAGGTAATCAGCTACAGTACATCTGAAAAACTAAACCAGAAAATGCAAAGAAAGTCCTTGACTTTGACTCAGAGGTCAGGTGATTAGTGGGGATTGTTAAATGTGCTGAAAGATACTGAGGGATCATGACTCATAAAGTCATGGTTATAAATGCCCTTGAGTGATCTTGCAGTCTTCCTTGCTTTAATTACTTATTATAAAATCACGTCTAAAGGAAGTTGACTCAAAAATGTTGTTCTCATGTTCCAAACCTGTGACTTTTTCTCTTCAAAGGAACACAAAAGAACGATTTAAGGCCTGTATTCACAAAACATTATTGTCTTTTATGCAATAATTCTTTAGCACATTACATTCGGAAATACTAAAGTGTTTATGTATTAAATTGAGCCCTAATACTTTCATGTCTTATGTCTGTTGCTGTCCTATGACTAGATTCCACATGTTTTTAAACAGCAGTCCACCTCTTAGATGTATAAAAGAACAGTAACTTAGGTAGTCAGACATAAAGCTGTCATTTAAAAGGAAACTGAAACACTCTGATGTCGGTTCATTTACGACTGAAATCCTTTATTATCCCCATCAGTATCAACGTTGGTCAAAACACATGGGCTGGGCCATAGAGACCCTCTCTGCAAGAGGAAATGTTGGGGACTGTCAGTACTGTTCTCTTGTCAAACTCAATTTAAATCTCTAGATCCAGCTGGATGCATTAAAAAATAACATTTAAGTTCTCTCCCTGTCCCTCACCCTGATCATACAGATGTGCTTCCCCTCCTGTCATCATTTATACAGTCACCTTCCTTCCACGCAGGGGCCAGGCCTCTTTCTGCCGCAGACGACGACTTATTTATTAGCTTGTGTATTCTTGCTACTATCCAGTTTCATAATGAATTGTTTGGGTTGAATGCATTTGTAAAAAGCTGCATCTTTTTATATTCAATGTCTCAATTTGTTTGTTGGCTATAAAATCAGTATAGAGTCTAATGCAAAAACATGTTTGTGTCATATTACATCCCAAAAAAGAAAAATTAAGCCCGTTTTAGAATCACGTTCACATGCAAAATGACCAATGAGTTGAAAAATATGCAAAAATTACAATTAACAAATCAAAATAATGTATTCCAGAGACAAAAATGTTAATTATATTTTTTTTAGTGTTAAAAACAACCCAGGCATGCTCTTTGTAATTGTGATATACTGATGTCTGTTCTATAAACTTACAAGGAGCTTTGCTTTTGTGCTCTCACAGGTCCATGCATACATCATTAGCTCCTTGAAAAAAGAAATGCCCTCAGTCTTTGGGAAGGAGAACAAAAAGAAGGAGCTGGTTAACAGCTTGGGCGAGATCTACAGCCGCATTGAGAGGGAACACCAGATTTCCCCAGGAGACTTCCCTAATCTTAAGAAAATGCAGGTAAGGTCAATTTAACCAACAAACATAGAGGCTGATTCAAGAATGCTTCACTGGGGCTTCTAAAGGGTCTTTCAGTGCACATTCAAAATCAGCATAATTTGTCCCACATTTTTAAAGTCAACAAACAGCTATATACATGTCAGCTTTGGGTGGACCTCCAAACCTGATTATGTGCCTTTTTTTCAGTTCTGTTTAGATTACTGTTACTTTTATACAACAGCTCTATAAACAAATGAATATTGAGCAATTTGCGTTTCAGAAAAAATTTGGCTAGTTATGAAACTATTTCCAAAAGAAGCCAAAGCATCAACTTTTTCATGTTGCCAAGCATCAACAGCTTGACACAGCCTGTCTGCAATAGAGTATCTAAAGGGAGCGGAGCTGGTTTATCCTGGAAATTTTTGTTACATCCTATAAGTGTTTTTCTTGCTTTCTTTCGCCCTGAATAGGAGCAGCTTCAAGCACATGATCTGAACAAGTTCCAGCCTCTGAAAATGAAGCTGTTGGACACCGTGGACGACATGCTGGGCCACGACATCGCCCAGCTTATGGTTCTGGTGCGTCAGGAGGAGACGCAGCGCCCCAACCAGGTGGTGAAGGGTGGCGCCTTCGAGGGTACCATGAATGGGCCGTTCGGACATGGATATGGTGAGGGAGCCGGCGAGGGCATTGATGAAGTCGAATGGGTGGTGGCACGTGACAAACCTATGTATGATGAAATCTTCTACACTCTCTCGCCCGTCAATGGCAAAGTGACTGGAGCCAATGCCAAGAAGGAGATGGTGAAGTCCAAGCTGCCAAACACTGTGCTGGGTAAGATCTGGAAGCTGGCTGACATTGATAAAGATGGGCTGCTCGATGATGAGGAGTTTGCCTTGGCCAATCACCTGATCAAGGTCAAACTAGAAGGTCACGAGCTTCCAAGCGAACTGCCCGCTCATCTTGTGCCGCCCTCTAAAAGAAAGGTTCCAGAGTAATTGGTTTGGAATTGGGATGGATTTTGGGAAAGCATATAGTTTGAATTACAGATGGCCGGACAACTTTTACTATACTGTAGAAAAAAAATAACTGTGACTTCTTTGAAATGTGTGGTTTATGCTTCACTAGCAAGGACGGATTTGGAACTCTTTTGACTTGTATATGTATTTTTTTGTTTTGTTTTATTTTTTATGAACAAATTGTGCTGTCTGCAGTCTGTTTTATGTGTGCTTTCAGATTTTACAATCATATTTTTATGCCACAATTTCAATTTCATCTGTTCAGCTATCATGACTGTAACGCTGAGTCCTAACCAGTCATGTTGCGATGAATGATATTAAATGTAAAACAGCACATTTTGTCGATTACACGATTTCATTTTCTGTGACAATTCAGTGAAATCTCATTGGTCTAAAAATCTACTTCAGGTAATTACATTAAACATCGTTATCTTCTGATTGGTCGACAATGACATTGTGTCATGTTTCGTAGCTGTTTTGTGTTCAGGTGATTATTTGTCACATTGCGCCTGGTTAGGACTCGCTAAAATGCTTTTCAATATATTTCATTTTCACGCTCAATTTACACTACTGTTCAAAATTTGTTTTTGAAAATCTCTTTTGCTTGCCAAGACTGCATTTATTTTGTGAAATAATATTACAATTTTTTTTTTAAATAACTATTTTCTATTTTAATCTATTTTGAAATGTGATTTATTCCTGTGATGGAAAATCTGAATACTTCTGTTACCTGCCGTCTTCCGTGTCACATAGTCCTTCAAAAATCATTCAAAAAAATATTAATAATCTCACTGACCCTACATTTTTTAACAGTAGTGTATATCAGATTGATCTGTGTCTCAGGAGGGGTGAGACGTCAATTAATGCAGAAAAACATGCATCTTATTCTGAATCTTTGTATCAGTTGTTATTCTAAGTACACAACTGTTAAAATCTAGCTAGAAAAGCTCAATTCCTTTTATAAGTAGGTGTAACTCTTATTCTCTTCTTGTTAAGGCGGCATCTTTAATGAATGCGAGTCCTTTCTAGCCTGACCAAGAGACTGTTAAAACTGTATAGCCGTCACATTAGAAGACTCAATGTTTAGTGTTCTTGATGGACCCGTAGAGCTAGTATCCTTGTCAGTAGTCTACTGTATATGTTAATGCCTAGCATATCTAAACTAACTAGGGTTATAGTAGTGTTTATATAATTCCCATCTGATTTTCCAAAGAAGAAAAAAGAATGATGCTGCAAAACAGCTTTATTCAAGTGATGTGAAGTTCTCTTTCTGAGCGTTTCTGCATTCACATGCTCATTTAAAGAGCAGCGGTTTTGGATCTAAATACGTATTTAGTTATATTACTTTATTATATATGCATTTAATGATTTAATGAACTCTTTACCTCTGTATCCACCCCTTGACAAGCAGTTATCTAGAGCTGTCGCATTTTCTCAAGCAGATTTTTAGGATCTGAATGTGAATTGGTAGATTTTTATGCACTGAACTAAATGGTCTTTAAACAAAAAAAAAAGACAATTCTGTCACTATTTACTCTCGTGTCATTTCAAACCATGTTTTAATTCCATGGTTGATGAAAAAGGAGATCTTTAGCAAAATAGTCACGCTGCTCTTTTATATACAAGATCAAAAATAACAAAAAGTACCATAAAAGTAGTTCGATATGACTTCTATACTATATTCCAAGTCTTCTGAAGTCATGTGATAGCATTATGTAAAGAAAAGGCTGAAATATAAGTGATTATTTGCTGAAAATTGCCATATATGTACATATTGTAATTTGGCTTCTCATGATCAGTTACTGTACAAGACACACTGACGTTTAGCGTCATTGACATTAAAGGGATAGTTCACCCAAAACTAAAAATTCCTAACCCTCATGTTGTTCCAAACCTGTAAAACTTACTTTCTTCTGCAAATCTTATTACAAAAGAAGATATTTTGAAGAATGTAACTAAACTCTTTCGGTTCCATTGTATGGACAAAAAATGTAAATCAATGGGAAGTGAAATGGTTTGGTTATCAACGTTATTCAAAATATATTCTTTTGTGTTCAGCAGAAAAAAGAAATGGAACAACATGAGAGTGAGGTGACTTTTTTGGGTGGACTATCCCTTTAACTTAAAAAAAAATCATGCTCATTGGATGGACACAACTAAAGTATGACATGATTTTTTATTTTTGATGTACTGTTCCTTTAAATCTGATCTGCTTTGATCTGAATGTCCATTTGCTTATGTGAAATATCTCCACTGATTTTAACTAAACCTTTAAGCCTGATTAGTCAATCAATTAAACCTATAAGCTGCCTCAGTGCCTTGAGACACACCCGCCTCAATCAGATTTGTGACACTAGAGATGTACAAACATGCTGTTATATTATACAATATCATGACATGCTCATGAAATAAACTGACATTCTTCGAAGACTTTCATTAATGCTCCATTCGAGTCTATAATGAAAAAAAATTCCAGATTTGCTCATAATTTTTGCACATGAAATTGTTTTTGCCCATAATGTAGGGTTGTGCATTTGTGCGTTTGACCAGGTATGTACATGTGTATGGGTGCAATATGGTTTGCAAATGTATTGTGAAGTGGTCTGTGTGCGTGTGCTTGTTGCTCATTGCGTTTTAACCGGTGTGGACAAACTTTGTGAGACACTACTGTTCAGGGAGGTGGACATTATTCAACTTAATAAAGATCGAACTCATTTAAAAATGCTTCGTATTTGGGTTTTCTGTTCTAGGCTTGTTACATCTTGACTTAATTTATTCCAGATTAAAGTACTAACTCTTTTACTCTTTCATTTAATTATTAAGCCTTTATTACTGTAGCGAGTCTGTTTAATGTTTCTCATTTACATATCAATTGTTTTAGAGTTGAGTGATGTCAACCCAATAAAGTAAAATGAATCAATGAATCAATCAATTAATTTGACTTAAATTTGTAAAATAAATATTAATTTATATTAAACCATGAAGTATAATAAGAGGCAGTTGATTCTTTTTCATACAGTTTATGCACACTGAGATTTCTCATGAAGAAATCACTTCTTATCAGGGCTGAGTGTAAAAAAATAATTATTCTATCATATTCTATTAGCTTAGTTGGATCTGCTGGTCATTCCAGAGCACACAGTTATAAGTAACCCAAAATAGCTCCTTTCCATATAAAGTTACTTGTGTACGTGCAGTCTGACATTGTGATATCTGTGGTTGCATATGTAGTTCTCAGAGTTTTCCAAGTGTTTAGCAGTAAAAACAGGATGCAGTAGAAATCTATCTCTGTGAGTGGGCCGGGAGCAATATCACTGTGGGCAGAGTGAAACCTTGTTCAGTCATGGCCAAGTCTTGAACTTCTCTTCCTAGCATAAGCGAAGGACACACAAGGGCACTGTCCTGTATGTCTTGGCCAAATGTACAACCCAACCCACTCGTGATGAGATGGACAATGGTCCATTCATATTTATCACAGAGGTCTAGTTTGTTTTGATGCATTTCTACACACTTCCTATAGTGGTGATTATCACAGATGATAGCTTGTGGCCTCATGGGAATTGCTTGACTCTGTTGTTGTAAAGCCTACACAGCGGTGTTTTAACTTTTACATTGTGTCTTCTAGCCTGGACATTTTATCAATTTTTTTATATTGTCATATTAACAATTTAATATTATTTCAATTGCTTTCAATATATATATATATATATATATATATTTTATATATTATAATTTTTTTTCTGTAACTTATTTACAGAATATTATTTATTTCAAAAAAATATTTCATATATTCTATATTTATTACATGTAAAGTAAAGTATTTCAAAAGTTTTTTTGTTTTAATTTTGATGATTAGAGCTTACAGCTCATGAAAATCAAAAATCCAGTATCTTAAAATATTAGAATATTTACATTTGAGTTTCATTAAATGACCATCCCTACAGTATAAATTCTGGGTATCTCTTGTTCTTTGAAACCACAATAATGGGGAAGACTGCTGACTTGGCAATGGTCTAGAAGACAATCACTGACACCCTCCACAAAGAGGGTAAGTGACAGAAGGTCATTACTGACAGGGGTGGCTGTTCACAGAGTGCTGTATCTAAGCATATTAAATGCAAAGTTGACTGGAAGGACGAAATTGGGTAGGAAAAGGTGCACAAGCAACAGGGATGACCGCAAGCTTGAGAATACTGTCAAGCAAAGCCGATTCAAACACTTGGGAGAGCTTCACAAGGAGTGGACTGAAGCTGGAGTCACCACGCTCAGACGTCTTCAGGAAAAGGGCTACCAAGCCACTTCTGAAACAGAAACAACGTCAAAATCATCAGAAAAATAACTGGACTGTTGCTCAGTGGTCCAAAGTTCTCTTTTCAGATAAAAGTACATTTTGCATTTCATTTGGAAATCAAGGTCTGGAATCTGGAGGAAGACTGGAGAGGCACCGAATCCAAGCTGCTTAAAGTCCAGTGTGAAGTTTCTGAAGTCAGTGATGATTTGGGTGCCGTGACGTCTGCTGGTGTTGGTCCATTGTGTTTTATCAAGTCCAAAGTCAATGCAGCTGTCTACCAGGAGATTTTGGATCACTTTATGCTTCCATCTGCTGACAAGCTTTATGGAGATGCTGATTTCCTTTCCCAGCAGGACTTTAGTACCTGCCCACACTGCCAAAACCACTTCCAAGTGGTTTGCTGACCATTATATTACTGTGCTTGATTGGCCAGCCAACATGCCTGACCTGAACCCCATATGGAATCTATGGGATATTTTCAAGAGAAAGGAGCCCCAGCCAAGTAATGAGTGCATAAATTAACATACTTTAAAGAACTTGAACTTTTCTGTTTTGGTTGATCTTAGCAAATATTCTAGTATTTTGAGATACTGGATTTTTTATTTTCATGAGCTGTAAGCTCTAATCATCAAAATTAAAACAAAAAAACTTTTGAAATGTTTTACTATGCAATGTTTAATGCAAGCTGTTGTTTTTCTAAATTTACAAGGAAAATACATTGAATGGGCCCATTGAGGTTTATTGTTGCTTGAGTGTTCTGAGTGGCCAATAGCAGTTACATACTAACCCAGATCAGCTGTTTTTGATATTTCCGTCCCTTGATACTGTATGGTTCAGGCCCCCCCGTCAATGCAAGCCTTTGGGAATTTTTTGTTCACAAGCCAAAAATGGTCTGATCACTTAGAAAAGTAAAGGCACTTCTGTTTACACGTCATATTTGATCTTTTTAAAGCTATGAAACTGTACCTGGCACAGCCTTACTCATCACTACTTTGCACTCAAACTACTAGTTGAAAATGTCTTCTTCCTTCTACAGCCAACCAAAACACTGGTGATGCACCAAAGCCCTTCTTCCATGAAATGTCAAAGAGGAATTTCTACTAGAAGTGCCATTTTATTGCTGCGCTCACACAGAGATGTAATGCACTAAAAGACTGACCTTTGACTTTTGAGGTGAGGGCATGTGCGGAGGATGGAACGAAGATGATTGCAAAAGTCCCGTGTGTTTGGGTAAAGTTCAACACGTGATTTTTCATTTGGCAGATTTACATCTTGAGAAAACT